GAGAGAGAGAGAGAGAGAGAGAGAGAGAGAGAGAGAGAGAGACAGAAGAGACATTTACCTTCAGCATGGAAATACAGAGAGAGAGATACAGACAGAGAGAGAGAGAGAGATAGAAGAGACATTTACCTTCAGCATGGAAATACGGAGAGAGAGATACAGACAGAGAGAGAGAGAGAGAGATAGAAGAGACATTTACCTTCAGCATGGAAATACGGAGAGAGAGATACAGACAGGGAGAGAGAGAGAGAGATAGAAAAGATATCTACCTTCTGCATGGAGGTCCTGAGGCGGGCGATGAAGTAGAGGATTGTGTCAATGAGCTCCTCCACTGGGCGGACAAACTTCATCTGACGACCGTCTAGCGTCGCGCCCATGGTCAAGCTGGGCAGCAGGAGGTGGTTCTCTGGCTCAAACAGCCTCGCGTACTGGTGCATGTTGCGGATCAGAAGGTCCTTGACCTTTGGACAATCAGTTAGTTTTAGTAAGGTTTTATGGAGCTCGCAACTGCCTGAGGTCATCGGGACAATCATGTTTACTTTAGCTTTGGCAAGTTTTTGGGCACTTAAAACTCAAATAGGCCATATCATGGTTTATAAAGTTTTAGTAAGAGTTTTAAGGCACTTGTAAGTGAAATAGATCATACATGTGCCAAAGATTAGTGGTGTTATCACTAGAAAGTAACATACAAAGAAAAGAAAGAGGGGAGATAATGACAAGAGACGTTTGGTAAGAAAGAAGGGCGGTTCCATGTGAATTAAATGACAATAAAGAATCATACAAGAAAATTTCACTGCCTGTTAAAAAAGTCATCTTCCACTACTTTTGTATTTTCACACACACACACGCATGCGCACACACGTGCATGCACGCACACACATACACACAATCTATATGCACATATAGTATATTGACAGACAAAACAGAAACAAAAGAAGGATACTAAAGTACACCAACGTGAAAAAATGTATACCTACGTACCTAATCACATTAGAAGCATACCAGACATGGTCGCTTTTAAGTACAAGCGGGCTAACCCAGATTTCCGGGGTTTCCTGAAATTTTGACCTATACAAAAAGTGGGCATTGCCCTACCTATAGGAGAAGTTTGGTTTCATTGGTGTATATATATGTATTTGGTTATAGAGAAAACTCTCCTTGTCTTTTAATGAAACTGAACAAGGGGCAAAAACTTTACCTTCGATTTTCTCAAAACAGCATTTTTCGGGATAGCCCCCTTGTCCTGAAAAGCGACCAAATAAGGACCTAAATTTCTTGAATCACATCTTCTAGATTTACACAGGACAAGTACATGAAAAACTTTCTTGCATTCCCTGTTCACCAACATGAAACATATTGAAAATAATGAAAATAAGACATCAAATAAACAAAAATATTTTCCCCCATTTTTTCAACTCTTTATCTCCGGCAAGCCACTCCCAGCGACTCGTGGTCAGAACTACTGTGCCGGTGAGTCGCTGACAGCGGCTCAGGCATATTCCTTTATGACGACTTCAACATCAAATTACTTTTCGGCAACTGCCAAAAACAGGTCTCTTTTACTTTTACCAGGAGTTCGTTCATTAAATGAAAACCTATCCAAATAGGTTTGTTTGTTATGATTTAATCATCCATTTTATTACGCTTTTGTCATTTTTAGATTTAGTACCAAAAAAGGGTCCCGGTGTAGTGGGTTTACCCCCCTCGGAAATAAAGAGTTAAAATCAGGGGAATGGGGAAGGGGACAAACTATCCGAGACGTGCGACACATTACCTGTATGCCAATCAGGGTGGACGTACTGCGGTAAAATGAGTCATACTTCTCCTCCGACGGACCTTTCTCGTTCGTGAAGATGCAAAGAAGCTTGGGATACCAGCTGCATGACCAAAATAATATATATATACATGTATTTATATATTTATGTATCAGTGTCAGAGGTGGTCTAATGGTTAAGCTCTCACTCTCAGACTCTCAACCGCAAGGCCGTGGGTTTGGTTAAGGCATTGTGTCCTTGGAAAAAGGCACTTTACACAAATTAGGTCATATTAGTGCTTAACATTAGAGGTGTTACTAAAGAGAAAAGAAGGAGAGATAAGGATGACAGATGTCTGATAGTTTGAGAGTCATTGTAAACTTAAAAAAAAAAAATTTTGTGCCTTTAATCAATATGTTCGGGTAAGATCCACCCAGAAATGTATTTCTAAATGGACATAACTGGTGATGAGCCAAAAAACGAAAATTCGATAAAAAATTGCCAAAGCAGTGGAAAAATGACAGTTCTTTTATTTCATTACTTTGACAAGTGCCTGATTTCACCAAGAGGCCTCACATATTATAACTAATACCATGACAGGCACACAAACCTTTTCATGAGTTTTTCTTCCACTTCCTTGAGGTCCCTGTCGATGCAGCTTTTGTATGTCTCAAAAGTCATATCTCCCAAGGACCTGTTTGGAAAATAACATGTGAAAAACACAAATAGATTTAAAAATTGCAATGGGCAGCAAAACACGATTCCCAATGCGCAAATGTTCCAAAGAAATCAAATAAAGAATTGGAATAGTTCATGATAGTTTCGGTAAAATAAGTAGGTACAATCCTAAGAAAATAGAAACAGTTCAATGACAATAAAAAAAAAGAGTTTAAAAGGCTATATGTTTTGGGAGTTTTTTTAGTAAGAGTTTTACGGCACTTGCAGCAACACAATAAGGTCATATAAGTGCCAAAGATTGGAGGTGTTACAAAAGAGTAACAAACACAAAAAAGAAGGAGGAGAGATCAGGACGATAGATGTTTGATAGGAAAGAAGGAGCAAACCACACCAGAGCAACCGCCAACCACCCACAAAAAAACCCCATTTGATTATTATATGCACACATAGCCACAGGCTATATGTGGGGTCAACCATTCTATACAGACGTGGGTTCTGGACAATCACCGAATGCAGCGAACACAAAAGAGCAACAACAGAAATGTGGTATCTTGGACATCTTGCTCTCACTGGAAAAACAGAAGGCAAGAGGCAAGGGTAGATCTTACTTTCGTTTTTGTAATACATGTAGTTTTACAGCACCTGCAACACACACACACACACACACACACACACACACATATACATACACACATACACATACATACACACATACACACTCACATACACACATACACACTCACATACACACACACATACACACACATATACATACATACACACACACACACACACACATACACACACACATACACACACACATACACAAACACATACACACATACATACACACATACATACACACACACATACAAACATACACACACACATACACACACACACAGACACACACACACACACACACACACACACACACACACACCTATATTTAGAGACGTCCAACAATAGAAGGGATCCGATCGTCTCCTGGCAAAACTTGAGCACAGCCAGGTGGGTGGGGTTCAGGATGTGCAGGTTCTTCAGCACGACACAGCGCCGCTCCAGGAACGCCTGGCGCCACGGACGCTGGAAGTTCAGACCCCTGGGGTAGCAAGTACATGTATTGGGCAATAAGTTAAGACAGATAAGATTAGATATTAATAAGATAAGAAAGATAAGATGTTAATAAGATAAGAAAAATAAGATGTTAAGAAGATAAACAAGATATTAAACAATAAGATAAGAAAGATAAGATGTTAATAAGATAGATAAGATATTAAACAATAAGATAAGAAAGATAATAGGACAGGTAAGATATTAAACAATAAGATAAGACACATAAGATTAGACATTAAACAATAAGATGGCGCTCATATGACCTTATGCAGTTGCGAGCGCCGTAAAATCCTCTACTAAAAAAACCCCCAAAAAACAACAATAAGATAAGGCAGATAAGATATTAAACAACAAGATAAGACAGACGAAATATTGAACAACAGGATAAGTCAGTTAAGATATATACGAAAAGACAATAATAATAATAATAATAATAATAATAATAATAATAATAATAATAACAATAATAATAATAATAATAATAATAACAATAATAATAATAATAATAATAATAATAATAATAAAGATAATAATAATAATAATAACGATAATAATAATAATAATTATAATAATAAAGATAATAATAATAATAATAATAATAATAATATTAATAATAATAAAGATAATAATAATAATGATAATAATAATAATGATAATAATAATAATAATAATAATGTAATCATAATAAATAGCATTTGTATAGCACATAAAACTCCGCTCTACAGCAAGCTCTATGCACTTTACTTACTTCACACTATAGTATTACCCCAGCAGACCTTAGAACACTCAGAAACATTCTCAGCTTCCCGGGAAGCATTCAGATAAGATTATGTTAATGAGAATGACCAACTTGGATAAGATAGATTCTAGTATTCAACTCAGCACTAGCACGGATAGATCTAGCTCCCTGAAGAATTCACCTATGCCCACAAATTTTGCATTGCACTTTTGCAGGACAGCAACCAAAGAAAAAATTATTTTTTAATAAATCTTGACCCAGTAATAAAAGTTTTCTCTTTGGGCCATAAATTAAAAATCGCTCTTTGGACGCATACACAGGATCACTAAAATAGATGAATTACAGTAGCCTTGCCTACAAATTGCTCATTTTGAGACAGAGACACCGCCCTGCCCCCACATTTTGAAACATACTCACCCCATCTCTAGAATCGTGTTTCTTAGGCGAAGGTTAAAGAGAGGTACTGATGGAAATTTGTCTATTTTAAATGTTTTAGATGTATGCTGTAAATCCCCTATTATTTTTTTGACCCCCTTTAAGCTTACATCAAAGAAAACATGTCGAAATTTTAATTTGCAGTGACTTTTATGAATGGGCTTTAAGATTCTGAGGGTCATCTAACTCTTAGACCCGTATGCAAAGATTCGAGAATATTGAACAGAGCGATTTCATTTTATTTTGTTTTAACAGCGATCAGACGAAAGTGAACAAACTATAATAACTTTACACAATCTTGTAAAGTATAGGAAAAATCAGATGGTGAAAAAACTGTAATTGAAAAAGAAACATCCAAAAATAAATACATTTAATCAACTCTTTGAGAACTTAGCCAACGCATATGTCCAATCAGGGGCAGATCAGGCAATGTTGCAGCACATTTCAAACCATCACACATAAATCAGAAACAAGACACAAAAATCAGAAACATGACGCATAAATCAGAAAACAAAAGCTTCCGGTAAAAACGCGAAAGAAAAACGGTCAACCATCTCACACTGGCTCGCTGGGCGGGGGTCCGGCTTTTTCCTTCTCTAAACCAGCGACCTCCGGTTTTATCAAGATGTGCTGGACTAAAAAAAGCAAGATTTATTTGTTTTGTTTGAGTAAAGAGAGGCAAAACAACATACTGACAGTATGATTATTGTGTTTTTGTTTTAGTAAGTGTTTCACGGCACTTGCAACATAATAAGGTCGTATAAGTTCCGAAGAATAAATTACATGCCATAAGAGAGTAACGTACACAAAAAAGAAGAAGGAGAGATAAAGACGATAGATGTTTGATATGAAAGAAGGAGCAAACCACACCAGAGCACTCACCAACCACCCACCACTGTCATTCATTGCTCAAGACCAACAGACAGCAACAACAGGGGACAGGGAAGAAGAATAAAAGATATCATTTGTATAGCACAAATCCCCGCTCAACAGCAAGCTCTGTGCGCTTCACAATCTGTACTATTACCGCAGCAGACCTGAGAGCATTCTGAAACAACCTCAACTTCCTGGGAAGCGTACAGTGCAAGCAGCCATTTAAAGGCGCTAAAACACTAACATACTGACAAGAAGAAGAAGGATCTACCAATATAATGCCTTTCAAACGCGATTCTGCCGTAAGCTGACAAAATATCTTTTTTTTTTAAATTTACAGCAATTTCAAGAAAAATAGGGTTTTTTTGTCAACGTAACCATTGAAAAATAGAGTGCTTCCGGAATATTAATTCTAATCTATTCAAAAGCTAGTACCAGTTTCACTTTGATTTTTTCACACAAGTAGGGTTTCTGATCAGGCTTTTGATTCAGCAAAATAGAATTTGTTGGCGCCAATATGAAAAAAGGCATTTTGTCAGCTTACAGCAGTATTTGAATTTGGAAACTGAGGTGTTAAACTTTTGGTGGGTATTTTTTCGTAAAAATGAATAGGCTACTTAAATGGAAATTGTTAACCCTCAGGACTTTTTCTTTGATGCGTGTGTCCTCTTGTAAAGGAATGGAATCTCAAAGAAAAATTCGTTTGTTGGTGCGCAAATCCCCGCTCAACAGCAAGCTCTATGCGCTTCACAATCTATACTATTACCCCAGCCAACAAACGAATTTGATTTCTATCAACACTTTCTTTTTTCTGTGAGTACATTTGTGTGTCCGCCGATGTAAAACAAATTTCTCTCTTTCTCCTCTCTCTCTCTTCTTTCCCTATCTCAGTATTCTCCCCCTCTCTCACATATACACACACACATGCACACACACACACACACACACACACATAAAAAACAAGTAAAAAAAAAAAAAAAAGTATCAAACAAAAAAGGCTCACTATTGGACATCTGTATGCTGGCCGTAAACGACTCTCTCAGCTCCTCAAAAAGCTCGACAAGCTTCTGTTCCTGAACCGGTCCCACCCGTAGCTTTTCCGGGATCAGCTGCAGGATCCGGTCCTTCCATTTCTGATCCATGAAACCCACCGGGGTTTGCAGGACAAAGTTCTTCAGGGCTAAGTAGTTCATCTGGGAAATAACAGAGGAACTTAGCGGGTGAATGACCCGTTATATTATAACAGATTATAACAGATACCAGTCTTCAAGTGCTTTGTTTTTTTGGGGTTTTTTCAAAGAGTTTTACGGCACTTGCAACACACTAAGGTCATATAAGTGTCGAAGATTAGAAGTCTTCAAGTCTGATGTCATGGCAGAGATGAAAATATCTCTTAAATTAAGTTTAGTTTTTGTTTTTCGTTCAGAGTTTTACAGCACTTGCAACACAAATTAAATAGGTCATGTAAGTGACGAAGATTAGCAGTGGTTTTTTTTAGAGTAACATACGAAGAATTAAAAGAGGCGAGATAAAGGCAATAGATGTTTGATACGAGAAAAGGGGTCAATAACACCAGAGCACACCTCAACCACCCACTGAAATTTTGCGTTTTGTTCAGTCGATGAGAAAAGCATCAATTGTAGAGTCAAGTAATTCATTTGCAAAATTTAAAAAATTCCTTCTAGTGATGAGAATCACATGACTGATTCCAAGTTTACATCTACCGGTTAAATGTTTGAATTTATGTTAATAAGGAGAAAAGCATAAGAGCCAATAAACATCTACAAAATAAAGTACAAGTACTTGTTTCAGTCACACAGAACTAGGTGCTTGTTTTAGTCAATGAAAAGATCACACAAATATCTGCAAGATTAAGCATTTGTTTCAGTCAGTGAAAAGCACATTGGCAGAGCCAGTATCTACAGAACGAAGTACTAGCTTTAGTTTTTTTCCTCGTTCTCAGTAGCTTTAGTCAAAGTGACCAGGGAAAATGAAAAATGAAAATAAGATGACAAGGCAGTTATCCACATCTGTCCCCATTGAAAAGAAACAAAATCCAAACCTCCAATAAACAAACAATCCACAGATCAACAACAACAAAAATGGCACAATGGAAGTAATCTTTTTTTTTTAACCCACATTACTAAGGCAATAACTATGAAACCAAACGCTGACTTTCACCAACCAAAAGACTTACCTTGAGGCAATGGTCCTCCGATGGCCTGAACTAAGAGAGAGAGAGAGAGAGAGAGGTAGAGATAAAGAGGTAGAGATAAAGAGACAGAGAGAGAGAGAGAGAGAGAGAGATAAAGAGACACAGAGAGAGAGAGAGAGAGAGAGATAAAGAGACACAGAGAGAGAGAGAGAGAGAGATAAAGAGACACAGAGAGAGAGAGAGAGAACATAACAGAAATACATAAAGTCACATATTTTACTCAATACAAATGACAAATTAAACAGCTACGCTATGAGGAAATTTTTTATTAATAAATTAAGTTTACTTATAACTTCAAAGAAATCCAGTAAATTACACGTAACATGTATATATTGCCAAAAGTATATTTTGATTACCCATTTTTTCTATTTTCGCTTTAAATGGACTATAATGCTTTTAAAAATCTCTCAAACATAAAACGTCAAATGTTATCTAAGACAATAACTTACAAAATTATAAGCCTTGCAAACACACAGTAAACTAAACTTATCCTCAATACAGAAAAACCTTCAATCTTGCCAGTCAGGGCCAACTGAACCTGAAAGGGATACAAAAGCCGAGAAGACACATGAAAATACTCGATTAAAAATACCTCCCCACACAAGATTCGAACCCTAGACTTTTTGCGGGCGGTGAAACTGCCATTGATAAGGAAGTGATGTCATGCTTGTCCTACCACCACATCCAAAAGTTATGTTGTTTTTGTAAGTGTTTTACGGCTTTCGCAACTGCATAAGGTCATATATCCAAAAGTTAGACGATACCTCTTCACGAATTGGAGGCTCCCTGTCCTTTTCCTCGATTTTCTTCGTCATAAACAAAAATTTCTCTTGCTTGGCGCTTTTCAATGCCTCACAGTTGCTGAGGAGAGACAACAAGAGAAAAAAATTAATTCTTCAAAGCAGTATATATATATATATATATTTTTTTATATATATATATATATATATATATATATATATATATATATATATATATATATATATATATGTACATTCAAACATTATGAAATAAAAACTCATTCTCAAAGTTGATGAGGTGTAACCACAAGGAAGATACAAGTCTGATTGAAGGTCAGTTATTACATCAACCCATCAAAACACAGAGATATATCTTGTTAGTTGCCAGAAAAACCTTTGGGACTGATATTTTTTTTTCTTTTTAAAGTTAATTTCATATGAGGGCAGAAATTGCAAGTCATCACCAGTTTTCTGAGTTTAGTTTTAGTAAAGGTTTTACGGCACTCGCAACTGCATACGGTCATATGAGTGCCAAGAGGTGGATGTCAACAGAGAAGTCCAAACGAGGAATCAACCTTACTCTGTTCACCTCTCTAGCTTCAACAGCACAAAGTCTGCTACGACTATCAAGGCACCCCGGAAATAGCACCTCTAGATTAAGATACATCAAGGGAATGCCCAAGCCTGTACACATTTTTCTGCAGCAGATCTGGCAATGCAACCTTCAGCAATTGAATACTTGAAATCTGAAAATGGCTTGGAGGCTATGACATGACAATATATTATATCAGTTACACATTTTTTTGCAACTGGTCTGCGCACACTCCTCAGCAATAGAATTGGGTCAAACCTGTCTGGGAGGATGGCACGATTCACTTCAACAGTCAAATGAAATCCGAACAAGGGCAACAAGTCTACGACAGAGTAATGAGTAAAAAAAGACTCACTAAAACTTCAAGAGGGTTTTGTGATTCTCCTTCACACGACTGTGTGTCATCATAGGACTGTTTTTCCACGGATCTTTCGAAAAGTCGTATTTTTGGATTTCAGGCAAAACGGGTTTTCCATTTCTAAAAATGACCGCATTATCATTCGCATCTGCCAGGCGGCTGAGGGTCGCAAGCTTCCTCGGCCGAGACTGCGATGAACTCCGTGGTTCATAGTGACGTTTCCTCTGAGAGGAAACAGTAGCTGGCTTCATAATCTGGGAAAGAAAAAGAAAGGAAAGGAAAAAGAAGACATTTTAAAATTGCAGGATCACTCAGTAAATTATAAGAATAAGGTGGTAAACAGATCCCTGTTATACATATAGAAATATTCCGTACAGTAGAGAGAGAGAGAGGGGGGGGGGGGGAATTGAGAGAGAAAGAGCTAGATGATTGATAGAGAGAGAGAGAGCTAGATGATTGAGAGAGAGAGAGAGAGAGAGAGAGAGAGAGAGAGAGAGAGAGAGAGAGAGAGAGGAGAGAGAGAGAGAAGGTCAGAGAAAGACAAGAAATAAATAAATAATACATATAAAGCAGAGAGAGTGCAAATTTAAAGGTAAAGGAGAAATATAACTCAAAAAAATGCTCCCTGAAACCGTGATCAATTGTATGGATACAATTATATTATATCATCACAGCACTGGGTTGTGGAGAGTTTGTGTTGAGCTATGTTGTGTTGCCAGACTCATTACAACCGAGTCTACAAACCTTTTTTTTGTAGGTTTAGTAAGAGTTTTACGGCACTTGCAACACAATAAGGTCATATAAGTTGCGAAGATTAGAGGTGTTACAAGAGAGTAACAAACACAGATCGAAAAGAAGGGGGAGAGATAGAGACAATAGATGTTTGATAGGAAAGAAGGAGCAAACCACATCAGAGCACCCGCCAACCACCCACTTACAAACTTTGAACAACCAAGATATAAGCACAGTCTGAGACTGCCTTGAAATAGGCAGTAAAAGTCTAAAAGATCTAGAAGGTAAAAATGAATATATAATATTGTTTGACATGTTCATCCAACTGCACGTACAGCTATGCGTATATATAGATCCGATCTACCTAATGTCTGCGTGTCTGCGTGTGTGTGTGTGTATGACTGTACGTGTAAGTGTGTCTATATATATATATATATATATATATCTGTGTATGTGTGTGTGTGTGTGTGTGTGTGTGTGTGTGTGTGTGTGTGTGAGTGTGTGTGTGTGTGTGTGTGTGTGTGTGTGTATGTGTGTGCACATAATGTCAGTATAGGGCCTAATATGTGGTGGCGTTTTTTTTTTCTTTTTGTTTTGTTTTGGGTTGTAATTGTTTTTTGTTAGGGGGGGGGGGGGTGTTTATTTGGTAGGGTTGTTGTTTTGGGGGGGGGGGTGTTTATTTGGTAGGGTTGTTGTTTTGGGAGGGGGTGTTTATTTGGTAGGGTTGTTGTTGTTTTTTGGGGGGGGGGAGTGGAAGGAGGCGTCTCCGAGGAAGAGGGGCGAGATGTGCACGCAGTTGGGTTGTCGGACCTCGGTGTTCATAGCGGAAGGACTTCCGTAACGAGCAACGACCCCAAACAAATACAATAAAGAAGAGACTGAACCCTAACCCTAGCCCTACCCCTCAAGCCTCAGGTGATCACTCGTTAGGGAAGTCCTCCCTTCATAGCTACTGCAAGGGCGAGTCCTGTCCTCCAGTTGGAACAAAACACAGCTGAAGTAATTGGAAAGTTATTTTTGTAATGCTGCTCACTCATAGACAAACTGACACAGTAGGATACAGACAATAGGGCAAGCAGATCTTGATCACTCCAACTAGAATCTAGATCTAGATTTAGCTGCCATATAATAATTAGATTCTAGATCTAGATATCTACTAGAATCTAGCGATCTAGCCTACCAGAAATTCCAGATACAACTTTATCCCAAATAATTCAATAGTAGATCTAGATCTAAATCTAAAATCTAGATCTAGAACTACATTTTTAAAAGTAAAATACGGCGATATTTATCGCAGTTCGTACTCCATCTTTTCATTTAGATCTAATTGTCATGATCACTATTAGTAACGATGTCCTTCATCATGATCAGCTGTGATCGCGTTCGTCATCAGCTGATCATGATGATCAGCATGTTCTTTCTTAAATTGTGACGATTAATATCATAAAAACTGTACAATCAGAAGCAGCAGTCTCGAATTACAAAATCTCGATTTACTTATACAATACCCTTTTGGAGCTGAAAATTCTAGGTGTAAAACGGTATTGTTTGGGCTACACGAAACGTTGTTGCCCTGTCAAATCCATTTCGGAAACAATCATAAAAGCCGCGTCTATAGCTGCAGCCAAATAGGGTAAATTGTGACACCCGATTTCATTGGAGTAGATAACGACTGCTGACCAATTGAAATCGATGTTCTATATGTCACACACCATAGCAACCTAGGTCAACAAAGATGGCGGCAAGCTTACTGTACTGCTTGGTGTCACCATAAATTTTTTTTCGTAGAGCCTTATCTTTGCAAGTATGAAGTTTTCTCACTTAAAACTGTGTTTCGTGGATATAATTTTGGATTTATGATATATCCCTGAGTTGTTCTGTAGACAGATAATCGTGAAAGTAAGTGAAAAAGCTTATAAACTTGGCCGCTTTTTTGTCTGCCTGCTGTGTTTCCCGATCATTGCATGTCAACTGTGTGTTCTGTTTATCCATTAGCAACAATGTGTACTGGTAATTTGTGCTTCAAACTTCTGTAAAATAACAATTTATCAATGCTTTAAAGGGTATTTTATTTATCATAATCTATTAAACAGGACGTTGCTGCAAAATGGCTGACCAAGAGGCCGACTTTCAGCCCCAAAGTTCTGAACAGGAAGAACAGAAGGCTACAGAAGATACAACAAATAACCAAAATGAAGATACCCAGGAGAATCAAAATCAGTCAAATGGTGATCAAGAAGCTGGTCAGGCAGTAGAAGCTGATGATCAGAACCAAAATGCAGCTGAGGAAGGTGCTGAAGGAGAGCAAGTAGCAAATGAGGAGCAAGCGGAAACTGCAGCTGAGGTAATCCCTCTGCTTTAAATGCCCTTTTGTGTCCCCCATTTTGGCTGTAGGCCTGCGTTTTATGACTTTGTGGTTCTGCAGACAGTAAATGATGATTGTTCATTTTGCAAATGTTAGTGGTGTCCAAAAGTACTCACCTTGACAGTCAGTTTCACGTCTTTGTCAGACTGTGTAAACAGTTAAAAGGGGTGGGGGGGGGGGGGGGGGCATAAGAAGTTAAAGCGTGGTCCCTCTATAACCAACAACAGCATATAGAATCAATTCATGATGCTTTTGCAGTTGTGAAGAAGTTTGAGTAAAAGGTTTTTAATCAACTTTTATTGGTGCTATATGCAAGGTCTCTCATTCTCCGCAATTCTTTGAAAAAAAAAAATTTTTTTAAATAACCCTTATTTTATCGCTTTTAAACTTTCCCACATTTTATGAATCCTGTCAAGACATATCTGGTGTGTGAGTGTGTGTGTATGTGTGTGTGTGTGTTTGTTTGTGTGTGTGTGTGTGTGTGTGTGTCGCGTTTGTTTGTGTGTGTGTGTGTGTGTGTGTGCGCGTGATAAGATGGATAATATAATCTTAAATTGTATGTCTGTCTCTTTATATGATTTGATATTCATACAGGGTTTTTTTTTCTCTCTCTTTCTCAATAGCCTGAAGCTGCTGAAACTGCTCCAGAGCCAGCTGTAGCTGAACAAGGTGAGAAAGATTTGTCTTGGAGATTTTATTAGTTGTTTTCACACTGCCTCAAAGGGAACATAAATTTAAAAATTTTCTTTCCTCTGCATTTTATAAAATTGTGATTCATTTTGAGGAACTGTGGAAAATATCTCTTTCTTTAGCTTTACAATTTCTAACTTGTGCAAGACCTGCAGTTGAGGTCAACAAAAATTGAGAAAAAAATGAAGCAAGTTTTGAGGCAGCTGCTACTTTGTGTTATTGGAGACAAATGTTTAGGAACTGAAGTTGGGAAACTGGCAAAAAGATTTGTATCTCTCCTGCTTGTGACTGTTGGAAGAAACTCTTTATTTGGAATATCAAATTGCCTGTTATACTGCAGTTTTTATTATTTTTTGTTATCTAGTCAGAAAATATAAAAATAGTTTGGGAGGAACAAAGTGTCTTTATTTATGATTATATGTGTGTGTGTCTTCATGTGTAATGTGTGTGTGTGTTTGTGTGTGTCTGTGTGTCTGTGTGTGTGTGTGTGTGATGCTTGTATATTACGGACATGTTAGCTGTGTTGTGTGCTCAGTAGGTGTGTGTGTGTTTGTGTGTATACACAATGTGCACGTGTGTTATGTTGTGTGCTTGATGTGTTTGTTAGTGTGTGTGTGTGTGTCTGTGTGCATGTTGTATCATATCACCTAAAAATTATAATTATCCATGTCTTTGTGTAACCCCTTGGTGAAGTCATGTTATTTAGGAAACACTGAGAAGTCTTAGGAACGGAGAGCGTTTTTTTTTTGTGGTTGAAATTTTCCTTTATAAATTCTATTTGTACACATTTGTGTTTTTACTTATGTGCGTTCCTTTGTGCTGACAGAGAGTGGAGAGAAAGGGGAGGAGGAACAAGCCAAGGCAGAAGAGGGAGCCCCAGAACCGGCCGCAGATGTCCCAGCTGATGTGGCTCAGCAACAGGTGACATTTTGGTTGTTGTGTCGCTCTTCACCCCCAGGAGGGCTATTTTTTTCTTTACAGTCGAAATGAGGAACGTAATTGTTTTGCCCAGATAATTGGAGAGAAATTATTATTATTATTTTTATTTTTATTATTATTATTATTACTATTATTGTTATTATTATTATCATCATCATTATTATAAGTTGTAGTATAATAGTATTATTTCATTAGTGTTATTATTATCATTATCTTTCTTATTAATGTCATTTTCATCACTTTTATTATTATTATTATACTAAATTATTATCATTATTGTTATGTTGTAATCATCATCTAAAATAGAAATTATAACAGGTGAAAGTTTGACAAGTTTTCCTCCTATTTTTGTCGCAGGAAGAGGCCGGGGAGGCAGAGCCTGCCGCTGATACAGCTCAAGAGGAAACTGGGGCCGCAGAAGTCGCGGAAGCGTCTCAAGGTCAAGCGGCCGAGCCAGCCGGGGACGGGGAAGCGACAGACCAGGCCGGGGAGCCAGAGCAGCAGGCAGAGGTAGCGGCTGAGGAACCGGCTGCAGCCGAAGAACCGGCTGTGACGGAAGACGCTGGGCAAGAGAAGACGGGTAGGGGAAAGTTTTGTTTTGTGTGGAAGGGAAGGAAGGGTTGTTAAGGATAGAGATAGTTGTGTTTCAGCTCTACTGAATTTCGTTTGGTTTTTCTAGTATGTGTTTGTGTGTGTTGTATATTTTGTGTCATTGGATTTGTAAGGAAAAACAAAAAGAGAGAAAAAGAGACTGACACAGAGAGAGGTTGAAAGGGAACATGTTCTTTTTTTTGTCATCACCTTCTCAAACTTTACTGTAACGTTTCTTATCAGAGATTTACAAGATTCTCCTTCTCTCATTCTCCTCCTCTCATTCCTCTTTTCTCATCTCATTTTCTCATTCCCCTCCCAGCTGAGGCAGAGGGTGAGGCAGCTCCTGCCACAGAAGAATCTGCTACTGTGGAGGCCGGTGACGCTAAGGAGGAGGAAGAAAAAGGAGAGCAACAGCAGGAGGAGGCAGAGGAGGCTCCGAAAGAGGAAGGGCAAGCGCCGGACGCCGCAACAGAAGATATTCCAGCGCCAGATGCGGCGACGGAAAATATTCCCGCACCGGAAGCGGCAACGGAAGATGCTCCCGCGGAACCAGAAGTGGCACCACAGCAAGGTGAGGAATGGGTCTCTTCTCTTGGGTGAAGGAATGTACTGTGGTGAAGCTTGGTTGTGCTTGATAAATGTAAAGTGTCTCTTAACTCTTTAACACTTTGTCATCACAAGGCTCATATAGTAATAACCCTTGCCATCAAAGGCAAAGGCATTTTGGGGAAAATCCAAAGAAACTGGGTGGTAAACATCTCTGATCGGCGAGATGTGACGGCAAAGTGTTAGCCCCCGAGTTTTTCCACAGTTTCCCGAAGTTTTTTCTACGGTCACCTTAAACCTCATGCACTCTATGTCTTATTATAACTCCAAAAGCTTGCTTCCAACTTCTAAATTGCAGAAACAAATGCTTAGTCATTACTTAAAATCTTGGATCAGGAATAGTTACGAAAAACAAGAAAAAACTAGCACTAGATGAAACAAAACAGTTGTTACAAGTATCAGATACTACCAGCGTCCAATGGGGTTTAAAGAGTTAACCTTCCATATTGTCACATACCATGACGACCCCTGTGCTCTGTTTACTGTTCCCAAAAGACGTAACTGTGACCCCACTGTGACCCCCACTGCGATCCCAAATATTGTACACGAGGTCAAGCTGGTGCAGTATACTTTACTTTTACCACTTTGCATACTTTTATTTTATTCAGACTCAGATCTGATTTGATGGACACCTGGGTCTCACTGTTCCTCGGAGGAATGTACAAAGCTAAAAAAAATGATTTCTAAAACCAACATGTATTTTGTGGTGCCAATAATTTATGTGTTTTGTGTTTGATGGTGTGTTGTGTTTGTTGACAATTTTTTTTGAGATGGCGTACTGTTTAACCCCATTACGAAAATACGAATGTACTATGAAAATGAGGAAAATCGAGTCAATTTTATGAATAATTAAATATACGACAAGATTTCACCGAAATAATTCTTAGACGATCATAAAGAGTTCCTCTACCAAGTCATTAGCCCGTCAATGACTCGGAATCAGAAGCCTTCTCCATGCAAATAGTCAACTGTACATAAAAAAATGAAAGTAAGCCGTCACTCAAATTTTTTTTCTTTTTTTTTTTTTTAGTGGGCCCCTTCTTCGTAGAAGGAAAATTATACTGTTACCAATTTTTAAGTCAAATTACTCATTTTTGGCCTTTTCATTACCAATTTTTAAAGTCTCAACGAGGCAGGTCTGATTATGTTTGAAAATGTGTAATGTTTGACAGCACAACGCGTTGAACAATGTGTAATGTTTGACAGCACAACGCGTTGAACAATGTGTAATGTTTGACCGGACATCACGTTGAACAATGTGTAATGTTTGACAGCACATCAGGGTGAACAATGTGTAATGTTTGACCGGACATCACGTTGAACAATGTGTAATGTTTGACTGGACATCACGGTGAACAATGTGTAATGTTTGACCGGACATCACGTTGAACAATGTGTAATGTTTGACCGGACATCACGTTGAACAATGTGTAATGTTTGACAGCACAACGCATTGAACAATGTGTAATGTTTGACAGCGCAACGCGTTGAACAATGTGTAATGTTTGACAGCACATCACGTTGAACAATGAGTAATGTTTGACAGCACAACGCGTTGAACAATGTGTAATGTTTGACAGCACATCACGTTGAACAATGTTTCGTTTCAGAGCCAGAAGAGCAAGAGGCCGCGGCAGAGCCTGAGCCAGAGCCCGTGGAGGAGCCACTGGCCGTAGCCACAGAGGTACAGGAGGTCGCTGCGGAGCCACCGAGGATGGAACCCATGGACACCAAGCCTCTGGTCAATCTGGAAGCCACAGCTACAGGTACAACTATCAGAATAGTTGCATCATACCTTTGTTACCAGCTATCTCAATGATTCTTTCCAAGTCTATACATTGTGCTCAGGTATACATGTCTATTTTTCTCTGTCTTGAGTAGTCTAACTATTTTTGTCTGTTTTCCTTCTCGTTTGTTCTTCTGTGAATTGTGCTGCCTAGTTTATTTTCTTTTTTTGCTATTGTTAGGGTCAAGTTCGTTTGTTAATTTATTTTCATTTTAGTTTTTTTTCTGTTTTTAGTCAAGTTTGTGTTTTCTGTTTTCAGTCAAGTTTGTGTTTTCTGTTTTCATTCTCTGTTTTCATTCTCTGTTTTCATTCTCTGTTTTCACTCTGTTTTCAGTCAAGTTTGTCCTGATGCCGAGCGGCCAGGTTGTGACCTTGGCCTGCACTCTGGGACAGACCTTGGACAACTTGAAGTCGCACTTTGCCTACGAGCTAAAGATGCCATCCTCGCTGATCATGCTCATGTTTGATGGTAACATTTTTTGTGGGTTTTTTTGTAGTGAATCTAGTAACGTGTGAGTTAAAGATTACATCATTTTGAACATGTATACTGTTCCTCAATCCATCCACCCCTTAAACCTTTCCTGTCCAACACCATTTCTACTACCCTTCCACTGTCGTAGGCCACTGTGGTTGGTGATTTTTTTTTCCTTTTCACGCACAGTGCAAAATCAAACATGTTTGGACAAATTCAGTTTTCAGTCAAAGGGAGTTAACGAAACAATACTATACAGTACTAAAATGGTTTCACCTTGCTTTCAGTAGCTATGTTTTTATGTAATGTAAAGATAGTTCGTACAAAAGCTAAAATATTATTTGTGCTTATCTGTCGAGCATCTTTACAGCAACGTTTGTTTAGCTGATACTAGACTCTCTCAAATATCGCAATGCAAAATGTCATCGCTAACATCTCGTCCTTTTGTCTTTCAGGAAAGAGTATGTCGGACTCCACAACCCTGGCCGACCTTGGCGTGGGCCCTAACGGAACCGTCCAGCTGGAGATGCAGTCGGCCGACCCCGTGAACACGCCGCTCAAGTCGTACCGCCCACGCCAGGAGTACCACATGCCGGACGTGATTACAGTCAGAGTCATGACAGGTCGGCAAGAACTTACCTTTCAGCTGCTTGTTCTTCTTGCTGCTTGTTGTTCTTGCAAAAGTGACGATATTTCATTTCATCTCTAAAGCTCAGCATCTTTTCATCACACTCGCACTTTTTTAATGTGTGTGCAGCACATGTTAGTTATATCAGCTAGCCTCAATTTGTCAACCTATTGACATTCTTCTCTGTTGTGCCTCTCCTTGTGTTCATGCCTGCGCCGTTTCTTTGGGTGCTTGGAGAGATCAGCAACAAGTAAGTGTCCTCCTACTCATTTTCTTTCCCTCTGTTGTTTCCCTCTCTCTGTCTGTTAGAGACGGGCGGGAAGCGCTTTTTCCTTCCCGAGCGAGAAGACCAAGAAGCTGACCTACTTCTCGCCAGGACCGGTCCCGAGAACGGGAAATACTTACCGTCTCGTGTCTCGAGAAATACTTCTCGTCTCGTGGGCAATTTCTCTTCTCACCCCGCAGTTCGAGCCCCTCGTTCAGCGAGAAGGCCGGCCGTGGCCGAGATTTCTCTTCTCGCCCCTCAGAACGAGCAGCTCGTTTAGCGAGAAGACCGATCATGACGGGGATCTAAATTTAGAAACTAGGCTTGCCCTGTTGCGCAGGCGGTGATGGGTGGCACTGTCTGCGTTGTCATTTCTCGCCTCTCACTCTCTCACTCTCGTTACTGTTACTCGTTGTGTCAAGCCAACGAGCAGTATCACGTCTTGGTACCGAGCAGTGGTTTAGTGCCCGAGAAGGGAAGGCCGTTACCCGCGAGAAACGGGTACTCGGCTCGTTTCGTGCCCGCCCCTACTGTCTGTCTGTCTGTCTGTCTGTCTGTCTGTCTGTCTGTCTGTCTTGCACTAAATGACCGTTACCGTGTTAATGTACTTCTCTTTACTCAGACAGTTTTAGTAAGAGTTTTACGGCACTTGCAACACAATAAGGTCATATAAGTGCCGTTACTCAAACAAACAAACAAACGAACAAGGTTTTTAAAAATTTCTTGTTCACAGAGGACTGCGAGTCCAAAGACGTGGTGGTGGAGATCGAGAGGTCAAGGACAAAGAAGCCGTTTTTGGGCGGATTCCGGAACAAGAACACGGGAGTGGAGTTTCACAACGCGGCTGCTCAGACAGTGCAGAAGCCGCGCCCTCCTCCCACGACGGAGCGGTTCTGCCGCGACACACAGACGTGCGAACAGAAGAACATAGTAAGTTACTGATGTATGAACAGAAGAACATAGTAAGCTACTGACGTATGAACGGAAGAACATAGTAAATTACTGACGTATGAACAGAAGAACATAGTAAGTTACTGACGTATGAACAGAAGAACATAGAAAGTTACTGACGTATGAACAGAAGAACATAGAAAGTTACTGACGTATGAACAGAAGAACATAGTAAGTTACTGATGTATGAACAAAAGAACATTGTAAGTTACTGACTGCTGGTATCTTACTGGACATGCAGCGTCTTGATAAACAGCATAATTTGTGGCATCGGTGGCCTAGTGGTTAGGCTCTCGGACTCGCAACCGTAAGGTCGTGGGTTCGAATCCCGTCAGGGGCCCGACGTTGTGTCCTTGGGAAAGGCACTTTGCACAAATTTTCCTCACTTCACCCAGGTGGAAATGGGTACCTGGCTATAGACAGTGAAAGATCTTGTCAGTTTGATAGTGTTTGAGCGCGTGAAATCCCCAGCTTGCACTGTATGCTTCCGCGGAAGCTCAGAATGTTTCTGAGTGTTCTCAGAGGGTCTGCTGGGGTAATAATAGTTGTAAAGCGCATAGAGCAAGCTCTTGAGCATGGATATGCGCTATATAAATGCAATTATTATTATTATTATAATTTGTGTAACACATTATATCCCCACTCAACACCAAGCTCTGTGTGCTTTACAATCTATATCATCACTCCAGCAGTTCCCAGAAATCTCAGAAACATTCTCCGTTTCCCAGATTAAGCGTGATCAATTTAAATCACTATGCCAAGGCCCTATTTTGGTATAAAATGTAAAAGTGACATACTGAGGGCCGCCAAGTAAACTATAAAAAGTCATGTTTTTCAAAGTTTACAGGAGAGACGAAAAAGCAGATTTTCTTGAAGTGTTTTTTTGTGGAAAAACTTCATTTTCATAAAGGAGCCTAATGTAATGTAATACGTACATCACTAAATTGGTCATTAAATCGAAACAAGTGTACCTATTTTGATAGTTCTTCATCTAATGAATTAACTCTCAGTAAAAGAGACCTGTTTTCAGCAGTTGCTAAAAATTAATTTGGCATCGGAGTCTTCGTAAAGAAATTTTCCTCAGCCGTTTCCAGTGACTCAGCGGTTCCAACCCCGAGCCGCTGGGAGCAGCTTGCCCGAGATAAAGAGTTGTGGGGCTCCACAGTATTCTCCTCTGCAGATGCATAGGGTCATGGTCAGATATTGAAAAACTATGATTATTTTCATTACAATCATTTAAGCCTTCCAGCCCCGAGCGCATCTATTTTCAGCAGCACTTGTACCTCTCACCGTCCCAAGAGCGTATTATATTCTCAGTTTCAGGGGCTACCAAATGTGGGCTTTTTTTCAAAATTAGCTAACCTAATTAAGTTTTAATTTTCTTAATATTTGTTCATTTACTTTAAAACATTGTTATATGTTATTGTCTAAACCTCATTACAAAGATACTTCATCACTTTTTAGAATGCATGCTTCTTTTTCTGAAATACTGCTGTATTGGCTCGAAATGGGGTTAGGGAGTGCACCAAAATGGCTAGGGTTGGAAGGGTTACTTTACGTTTCCAATCTAGTGTTTGGAAGGGTTAAAATGTTCTATTTTATTTATTTATTTTTTTCTTCTATTTTAGCGACAACAAACAACGAACACGACCAGCACCCAGATGACGGGTATCGGGGTTTTCATCAGCAACATCGAGGACAAGCTCGTCACCCCAGGCAAATATTTCTCTGCTGACGATCGGTGGGCTTTGATACTCAGAAACGTAAGTAGAAGGTAGACGTCTTTGTTAGCTTTGATACTCAGAAACGTAAGTAGAAGGTAGAAGTCTTTGTTAGCTTTGATTCTCAGAAATGTAAGTAGAAGGTAGACGTCTTTGTTAGCTTTGATTCTCAGAAACGTAAGCAGAAGGTAGAAGTCTTTGTTAGCTTTGATACTTAGAAACGTCAGTATATTATTATAAGTATCTGTTAGCTTCGATTCTCAGAAATGTAAGTAGAAGTCTCTGTAAAATTTAGTTTGTTACGGTGAAGAAATGTACAAGTACTGTCACTTTTCACCAGAATGTTTTTGGATATTTTGTCGGTGTGAAGCACTGGATTGAACTATCTTGCAGAACATGACATTTACACTTATTTTGTAGAAATAATTTTGATTCTAAAACATAAGTGTACTCATTTTCAAATACGAAATGGAAGTGTAGTAACCATTTGTGAGGCATGCTGACAAAATGAGTTACTTCTCGCTATCCTTGAACTCAGATATCAGCCAAAAATCGACGCAAAGGTCATATTTATAGATTCAAAACCGATGCCATTCTCTTCATGCTTAACATGTCTTTTATCATTTCATACTAATAAATTGTAAAAACTCAACCAATAAATTTGACATATCTATATCTATTTCTATCAGGCTAAATTCCGAGAAGTAAGTTATTTTTTCAACACGCCTCACATTTGTAGCTTGTCTCATCCAATATGGTCTTAATCCATCTCTCCATTTCGTATTTTGTCTTATCTTGTCCAATCTTGCTCCTTATATGCAGATTGTTCGAGGGCGCCAGTGGTAGATACTACTTTTTCCTTTCCCCTTTTTTTGATGTGTCTATTTTGTGTTTTTTCAGTTGTTGTGTCAATACACTCCTCTCTTCTCAAAACAAACTCCTGGTTTCTCATTTCTTCTTGATCTGCTCTAAAAATACTCTCAAAACTCACCTTTTCTTGATAGTGCTGTAAAAAATACACTCAAAATTCATTACTTCTTGACTGTACTGTAGAACATGCACTCAAAACTCATCTCTTCCCATCATTGCATCATCCGTTCTTCGTCTAGGTGATCATCATCATCATTTCCTTCATCATCATCATTGCCTTCATCATCATCATTGCCTTTCTCACCCTGGATCAGGATATAGGCCACGAACAAACACTTTCCACCTTTCCCTATCCTGGGCTAGTCGCCTGATGTCACTCCATGTCTTCCCACTTTTCTGTACGTCCATTTCCGTGACTCTTCCACGTGGTCTTCCCCTTCATCTTTTACCCTGTGGGTTCCAATCTAACTCTTTCCTTTGTTATGCAGGTGATCGTCCTGCAGAAGTATTACCGCCGCTGGCTGGCCAAACGCTACGTGAGGAAGCTGAAGGAAGACAAGGCGGCGCGACTCGAGTGGGAGAGGAAGGAGGAGTTGAGGAAGAAGAAGGAGAAGGAGGATCGCATCAAGCGCGACTACGCCCGCAGGATCGACCCCAAGACAAAGGCCGACTTCGATATGCTGCTACACTGCTTAGAGAGTAGGTTCTCGTTCGATGTTTGGACATTTCCGTATTTGGACATTTTTTATATCTCCAACAATGCAGTATAGATCAGTTAAGAGATGGTTGATCTTTGGGCTGGAGGTAAAATGAGAAGCAGCGTTGTGGAATCAGGCTCTCGTCAATTTTTAGACATGTAAAGTTATTGGTATCATCTTAAAGCTTGTTCACTTGTCTTTGTTTGGATGAAAAAAATACCAATTTATCTTGAATACAAGTCGAGATATTTGCAAAAGAAGGATGTGGGGGTCACCTGTTTTCAGAGGTAAAATTAGTGAGAAAATGGCCTCCAAAGATTAGTTATTTCCTTAGCTTAAGAGTCAGTGGTAACTGAAGATTTACATTTTTTATGCCTTTAATCAACGCTTTTCAGAAAAATCCTCACAGAAATGAGTTCTTTAATGGGCATGAAAGGTGTTGTGCCAAAAAACAACAATTTGATAAAAATTCACAAACCTTCGGAAAAATGCAAGTTTCTTCACTTTGATTATTTTGACGAGAGCCTGATTCCACCACGCTGCCTCACAAATAGATTCTGATCCAGTGTGGATATTTTGAGCTTTTGCCCTTCAGTAGATGGTTATATAGCAGACCTTTCGTCTATTCCACGGTTCTCTAAAATTTCTCCCAAACACCGCCCTACCATAATCATGGCTATAATTTATCTCTTTAGCTGAAGCAACTCTCAAGTGAATAAAAGTTTAACGAGAAGGTTATTTTGGTCCCTCGTTCAGAATGGCGCCAGGAAGAGATGGAGCGCATCAACTCCACGCTAGAGGGCGCCGAGCGTAAGGCGGCCATGTGCATGTTGCTCGACCAGGAGACGGAGCTGCTCTCCGCCATTGAGAGGCACAAAAACGAGGCCAACACCGACAACAAGGACAAGAGGATCATGGCGTTCTTGGACAAGGTAGGGGCTTATAGGGGGGCTCTTGTGGCCTAGAGGTTAAGGTGTTGGCCTCTCATTCAAAGGTCCTGTGTTCGAATCCGGGTAGCAACGGAAAAATTTTCTTCTATAAAAGTTTGTACAAAAACGTATTTTTCCCATCACGTTCAGCCTATTTTTGGGTCACCTCCTAACCAAATATTATTACCCTTTCAATAAATGTTAGTACAAAGACATGTTTCTCCCATTGTATTCAGCTTATGTTAGGGTCACCTCCCAACCAGATATTATTACTAAGACATGCTTTCCCCATTGTATTCGTTGTATTTTTGAGTCACTTCCCAATTAATAAATGTTAGTACAAAGACATGCTTTCCCCGTTGTATTCAGCGTATTTTTAAGTCACTTCCCAATTAATAAATGTTAGTACAAAAACACGTTTTTCTCGTTGTATTCAGCGTATTTTTGAGTCTCTTTCCAATTAATAAATGTTAGTACAAAAACACGTTTTTCTCGTTGTATTCAGCCTATTTTAGGGTCACTTACCAACCAGATATTATTGCAAGGAAGTGTCTACGTACTCCCCGATTGGGGTCTATGTAGTCATGGTGTCTAGGTGGACCCCAAAAATGTTGGATTGTGATTGGCTCGCTGAGCGAGCGGTAGTTTACATTGGTTACAATGCAAGGCTGCTAGACCTACTTACTGATCATCTCGGGTAGTGATTGGATTTATCTTGTGTTACTATAATTAATATATTTTAGCCGAGAGAGAGAGAGAGAGAGGGTATTTAATTAATAAACGTATTTAGATCTAGATCTAGATTTTGTTGTGCACCCAGCCAAGAGTGTGCACTTCGGTCTAGATTTAGATTCTAGATCTAGATACGTTTATTCATTAAATACTCTCTCTCTGGGTTAAAATAAATACATTATAGTTACACTAGATCGACACACCGCCCGAGATGATCAGCAGCCTTGCATTGTAACCAATGTAAACTACCGCTCGCTCAGCGAGCCAATCATAATCCAACATTTTTGGGGTCCACCTAGACACCATGACTACGTAGACCCCAATCGGGGAGTACGTAGACACTTCCTTATTGCAAGGAGGTGGGTGTCGTCTGATTTCAGATGTAAAATTAGCGAGAAAATTGCCGCCAAAGTTTGGTGACTTCCAGAGCTTGAGAGTCCTTACAAACTGCAAATTTACATTTTTGTGCCTTAAATCAACATTTTTCCGTAAAATCCACACATAAGAGTTTTTTAAATAGACCTTAAAGGTGCTGAGTCAAAAAACAAAATTTCAATAAAAATTGGAAAAAGGGACAGACAAATGCCAGTTTCTTCAATTTCATTATTTTGACGAGCGCCTGATTTCACCACGATGCCTCACCTCACATGTATGTTTTATCCCCACACCTCCAGGCGGCGGCTCCCAAGAAGTGGCAAGGTCACGACGGGAAGCTGACCTTCATGGACACGCCGTACACGATCCGCGCCAAGGAGCTGCGCGACATCTACAACAGCATCAACATGAAGTACCTGACGCAGGACGAGAGGCTGGACGTTTTGCTCACGCTCAAGCACACCGTCAAGGTGAACTTGTGACCTTTTGACCTCCCAACTTTGTCGTGACTTGTGACTGTAAATGTTTTTGATAAGGTTTTTAATGATTTTTTCTGTTGGTTTTTAATAAGCTTTTATTTATTTCTTCTGTGTTTTTTATCATTTTTTCGGTGGTTTTTAAATGGTTTGTAATAATTTCTTTTAAAGTGTTGAATGATTTAGATGATTTAGGGGTTGGAAGGTTGTTGAATTTATGACATATTGTTA